AATTTTATTATGTACATTTTTTATGTGCTTTAAGCAAATAATATTAAATCGATGTTGAAAGCTGATCGTAAATAATTAATTAAATGTACTTCATAACATCTAATTGAAATATTGCAATTACTATTCTGTGATATTAAAACGAGGTTTATATCGAAATTTATGTCGAAATTTATATTTCACTTACGTACTTCCATATATTTCTACATCATCTGTTTCTGTCACATTATCGTCTTCAATAGTTTGCAAATATCGACCGTTCGTACGTTCGTGATAAAGTTTTCTTTCCGCAATGATCTATGTTAACATGAGAGAAAACATTAATTTATTTCGCTCGTGTTATATCGTTATTTTACTAATATTTCAGTGTTTTTTATCGCTATTTACTTATAGGCGCCCATATTTTATATCCCTCACTGAAANCCAATAAATGTTAAGGGGCTTGATTCTTACGCACTTTTTCGGTGAATCCATGAAAGTGGTATAGTAGTTTCTTTTCCAATCTGCCCGCGGACGACAAATTCCATAACCACTCGGAAAGGAGCCAGGGCCTCAATAACCTAAACAGCATAATTATAGAGTGCTAAGAGTAAATCATAGAAAATAATGGAAGTAATGTTTGAATAATGACGTAAAAGGCGAAGCAAGATGAGCTCTAAGATGATCTTAAAGCTCATTTTGAACCATGTTACGCTAGACAAAAAAGCGGTCCACTAACAGCAGCATAAATTAAGCTAATCACGTTGTGATATATATATAAGTATAATTTGCAGCGTCCTTTAATTAAAAATACCTATAAACAAGAAGAGAATCCAATTGTCGAATTTTCTCTCGATATTCTTCTTTGGCTACATTAAGATCGTGCAGAGAGGTACCCATGGCAGTTTCTATAATTGCAAACCGCTATGTTTAAATTGCGATAACACAATCATATGCTGCAAGAACTTCGAACGTAAAAATAAATATAACTAGTAAAAATCACTACGGAAATATTATTGACCGTTAATTTATCGTACCGTTGGAACTACACGCGCGAACAAATTCTCTCATTCTTGATTGTTCCGCATATAATAAACTATTTATACAATTATATGACAAAAATATCTTATAATTTACCACATATTGCATTCAGCGTATGTTCAGAAGCAAATGTTAATACATCCTTTTCAACAGTCTCACCGACATCTTTTAAAGTCTTGGTCATGTGTTGTCCCTCCTCAATTAAAACATCAACATACTTTCGCAATATATTGAAATGAAATGCAGGCGTCAGTATTTTACGTCGTGAGTGCCACTTGGTACCTAAAATATATATAAAATTATGATTAGCATCATTTCTTGAATAATTTCCAACGTAAATGTTATTGCGCGATATCCCTACAAAATAAAATACAATACCACCAATAACTCTCGCCTGCTGCGATTACTTCTTGCGCTTTTGAATTTATTGTTTAACTAATCAGACTTCAATCGACGTATTTCTCATGATCCGTCTTAGTAAAGTAAATTCTTAAACTCAAATTGTCTTCTTTATATATGTGCGCTCAATCAACAGCACAAAATAGCCGCATAAATTTATCTTTATCGTGACATTATAAATAATTATGTGAATCAACAGGAAAAAATTTACCGCGCGAAAGTTTGCTTGCTTTTTCTATATATCCGAAAAAATATATATTTATTAGGTTTCATTTACAGACTC